CCGCCGCCTGCTTGCGGCCGCCACGCCGCACCCGCAGCACGGCGCGTGGCCCGGCAGCCTGGAGCAGGAGGGGCCGCAGCGGCGGCGCAGCCTGCAGGCAGAGGACGACGTCACGATCGAGAGCGTGGACAGCGACGGCGACGCGCTGTATGTTGCCATGGCCAACGGGTGAGCCGCCCGCCAGCTCAGCGCCAGCTCAGCGCCAGCGTGGCGAAGCCGCCTCTGCCGGCGCCACCTCCACCGCTTGGCCCGGCCAGACCTCGTCCTCCCCGCGTGGCTCGCATTGCTGCTTGGACCGAGCATCTCACAGGCCCTGCTCCTGACCCAGCACCCCTCTGCGCCTGCCTCCCCCCACCACTTGCCCGCTGTGCAGCAACCTGTTTGTGTACGACCTCAAGGGCAACGGCGGGTGGAGCCAGCACCCCAGCGCCGGCCGCGTCAGCCGAGTGGTCATCTCCGACGATGGTGCGCAGCCGCCTGCCGGGCGACGCATACCAACCGCTTTTTCCGCTCGTCCCCTCTTCTCGTCCCTGCTCTCGCATGTCTATTCTGGCCGCCACGGAGCCTGCCTGCACGCCCAGCCGCTGCAAGCCGGGCCCCACAACCGCGCGCCTGGCTGTCGCTGCCGCCCCTGCAGGCAAGGTCTTCTTGATCAACGAGGCCGGCGCGGAGCTCCAGCAGTACACCGGTACCGGCGTGACCAACAAGTGAGCCCACTCCACGTGCTCTGCACCTGCCGCTGCTCTGTGCCTGCTGCCGTCAGGTGTACTGCTGTACTGCAGTACTGCTCCAGGCCATCCTGCTGCTGCCGAGCCCAGCACCACTGGCAGTGGCAGTGGCGTCTGGCGCGGCGGCTGACGTGCGCCGCTCCCTCTGCTGCTGCGCCCGCAGGCGCTCGCTGCCGGGCGGCGGCTGCACCGACCTCGCCGTCAACTCTGAGGGCACCGTGCTGGCGGTGGTGTGCGGCAACGGCCTGCACGTGCTGAGGTCCACGGGTGAGCGGCCGGGGTCTGCGGCCCGATGCCTCGACAGATCTCACCTGCCCCGTGTGCCTGCCGGCTACAGCCCGCGTGCCCGTCCCCATGCCTGCTGCCGCCGCACCGCCGCTCACGGCCCTGCCCCTCCCCCGCGCGTGCTCGCTGTGCCGCCGCAGGCAGCAACCCCGCCAGCTTCAAGCGCCTCATACCCCGCTCCGTCTGCTCCGCGGCGTTTGACGACGCGGGCTTCCTGTGGGTGTCGCGCCGCTCGGTAAGGGGCAGCCGCAGGCCGCAGCGCCAGCATGACCACCACCTGCACCGCCACCGCTCCGCCTTCTCTGCCCTCCACATCAGGCCTCCGCATGCCAGGCTTGTTTCCACCACTCTGGCCCGTGCGAGGCCACCCAGCGCCGGCTGCCGACCTCGCGTTGCCACCTCCCGCCTCTTGCCGCCGGCCCGCCCGCCTGCAGGGACCGGCCTGCTCCGGCATCGGCTACGTGCGGCCCTCAGACATCAGGAAGCACCTGCAGCAGGTGGATGCCAAGGGCGCCGTGAAGGACGTGGCCGACTACGATGCCAGGTCAGCTGCCACGTCAGCCATGCCACGTCAGCGGTGCATGCCACGTCAGCATGCACGCCACGTCAGCTTGGGGACCACGCCGGGCTGGGCGTGCTGCTGCTGCCCGGCGCTGCCGTCCTCACGCTTGCTTCGTCGTGCACGGTGCCGACCCCAGACCACCCCAATGCCCTCCCTGCTGCAATCCACACACACCGCCCCAACCCTGCTGCAGCCTGGACAGCTGCGACGAGCTCCATGCCGGCGCCTACTCATCGGAGACCAACAAAGCCACGCTGTACTGCTGGTTGGGCTCCGACTCCCAGCTGCGATGTGAGTGCTGCTGCGGCTGCAACGTGTGGGGCGGCAGTTGACCCATAGGCCGCCGTGGCCGGCTCCTGCCTCCAGCTGCAGTGCATGCACGGGCTGGTCGTGTGAGGCATGGCCGGGGTGTGCGTCAGGCCAGGCCCTGCATCGCCGCCTGCCCTTTGGCCTGGTGCCTCACACTGCGCCCTGTGCCTGCTTCCCGCAGCGATGAGCCTTCTGGCCATCGACCCGCCACCAGAGGAGACGTGAGCAGCCGCCCAGCGGCACATGCATGCATTCAGCAGCAGCACAGTAGCTTATGATGCTCATCCGTGTGGCTTACATGTGTAC